ATGAAAAACACAGGATATTTTGAAGAAGAGAAAGAAGAAGTAGGTAAAACAGATGAAAGTGGAAGTAAAGAGGATGAGAAGAAAAATGAAGAAGAAAATAACGAAAAGGAAAATGAAAAAAATGAGCATGATGATGGGTATGATGAAGTGAATGAAAAGAATGAAATTGAAGAGAATAAAGAAAATGACGAAAGGGAGGATGAAGATGAATATGATGAGTATGATGAAGTAAATAAAGGAAAGAATGAAGAGATGGATAAAAATGGTAAGGAAAATGAAGAAAATGATAAAAGAGAGAATGAAGAAGATAAGTGTGATGAGTATAATGAAGTGAATGAAGAGGAGGAGGATGAAAAGGAGGATAAAAATGATTAGAGAACGAAGATGAGAATAGAAAAGATGGTAATAACGAAAATGATAATAGTGATTATAGAACTGAGAATGAAGATGAGAATAGGGAAGGTATTAATAAAGTAATAAAAAAATAATAGAAAAGAAAATTGATAATTATTTACTTATCACAATATTAGCACTACCTAAAAATTAATATTTAATATTCAAATCATTCAATCTCTATCAGTTAAATAATTATAATTAACATTGATAATAAATTAATTGATTTATCAAAACAAAATATAATTATCTGGATAATATAATATGAGTATCACTAAAAGAAAATCCGAAAATTTAAATATAAGTCATATTTAAATTTTCAGGTTTTCTTTTAGCAACACTCATATAATGTATTTAATAAATTGGTTTTTATGAATATCAGGATATGTTTGTGAATGCGTAGTTTTAATAAATTTGCTGTTATAAACATTGTTAGGTTATATGCATTTAAACTTTTTTAATATTCTGAATTCTGATAAATATTTTTATCACTATACCATTCCATAATGATCTTACATAATGCTTTCAGTTCTGCATATTTATTATAAAATACAGATTTTCTATACAAAATTTCCCACATAATTATCTTCAACAAGTAAATGTCTGTCTAAAATTTCTAGTACTATATATAGAAAACTTCATAAACCTATGATATTCTTTTCTGAATGCAATAAACATGCTATGTAATCTATTTTGTAAAATATTATATCTATACAATCACTCTAAAAAAAAATTAGTTAGGAATTTCTAATTTAGAAATGCATTCAAATATATTAATAAAAAACTTACTTTTTAATCTACTATTTGAATTATTAATAATTCTGTTTCCAATTCTGTATCTATAGTGAATAACAGTTTTAAAAAATTTTGCCTCAGCTGACTTCAAATAATACAATTTAAAAATAAATGATAAAGCTCTGGCAAAACCAGCCAAAAAGTGATGCCTGAAATAAATAAAAATAGTGAAATCAATAAGGACAAGCTATTTCCTTACAACCAATTTTATTAAAAGCTAAAGAAAGTCTTAGATTGAACTATTCTTTTTCAGCAGTTGATCTAACCAGTTAATTTATTATTAGATACTTACTGAACAATATCATATTGAACGAGAGATCCAAAGATACCATAGTATTTTTTTGTAGCATTTCAAGAATCACCCTTAATGAAAAACCTGACAATATATTTGTTAATAAGTCCTAGAGTATGTATGTTTGTAATAATAGTATTATACTTGCATTCAGTCAATGTTAAACTCATTGATAATTCAGTGTTTCAAAGTCATGAGTTGTGATACAACTATAGAAGTCTATCAAGTTGTTAAGTTTCTTTTCAGTAATTTGGTAAAAGTGCTTTTCTATATATGTTTTTGTGTTTGCTTTAAATGAAAGTATAAGGCTACTAGCTGATAACCTTTGTTAGTCAAGTATTGATCCACATTAAACAGCAACAAAGTTTTAGATCTAATCTGAAATTTTCTAGATCTATATACATAATAAACCGTTTTATACAAACTTAAAATCCTGTTACTTATACTTTTTACTCTACAGCAAGGTTCTTACATGATCTAAAGAATCTAATGAACAGTAATTAAAAAATATGGATTAGTCATATGTGCATACGTACGTATATATGTGCCATATTTTTATAGAATAATACACAGGGCATAATTTTGAATTTTGGCTTAATTCGGGCCAAAATTTGAAATAACGCTCTAATTAAAAAATTAATCGACAGGTTATCCAATTGTATCAATGTGGCTAATTTTGCTGATCTCTCAGCAAAATTTTCAGAAACACCAGGGTAAGCTATACTACATTTGATCTGATAGAGTTTTAGGTTCTGATCTAGAAAGCTATTACCAAGTTGTTTCAGAAGCTTTAGAAACCTTAAAGAGATCTTAGTTTAAGTTTAATAAATCAAGTTTATCTGAAAACCCTTCTGCTATACTATTGAGTAATTCTATTCTATCTAATTCTATTTCTATTTAGCTATCTAAAATACCTTTTTTTCATAAAATAATATGCTATCTATTTCTAAACTAATATTTTTTTTTCTTTCTTCTGTTTATTTTATATTTTTCTGC